GCAATCTCAGAGGAACAATGGTTCGAATCTACCAGATGCTCTGCTGGAGAAGGAGGAACAATCTCCTCCTGTATCAGTCAGATCTGATTTGACGGTACACACACAAAAAAGTAATGAAATAAAATAAAAATTAAAAAAAAAAGAAAAGATTAAGATGCACATGATCCAAGTCATGGTCTTTTTTACTTAACTGCTATGCATCTGGAAGTTAGACAATGACTGAAGAAGACAGAAGAATCACCGACGCCTCTGATTCGTGCTGCTGGCGGAGAGCACTGACTATCCCATGGACTGCTCAAGAGAACAAACTGATTTGTCCTGGAAAACGTGAAATCAGGGTGCGCCTCAGAGGGAAGTATGGCAAAACTCTGGCTCACATACCTTGGGGCATATTTTCTCCTAAAAAAAGGACAACATGTTGAAAAGATTGAGGGTCAGCATAAGAGATGAAGACCGTCAGCAAGATGGACTGAGACAGTGTCTATAACAATGGGGTCAAAGGTGTTGGGTGAGGATGGCTCAGGATAGGGCAGGGTTCACAGCTGTTGTTCACAGGGTCACTGTGAGGTGTAGTCGACTTAAGAGCCCAGAACAGTCACAAATAAGAAGAAGACAACAAGCTGTATGGCCTACAACAGTATCATCTGCCGCTGCAGTAGATTAGAGGTGGGGTGCTCAATCCAGTCAGGGTTTCTGTTCATTTAAGCAGTGGCTGAGGCCTCTTAATCTGTATCAGGGTAGCACTTCTTCTGGTCTAGGGTGTCTTTAAGTTGTGGGGCATCCAGACAGGGGCTAAGTTTCTGGTGGTTTCAGAGAAACCTAGGTAGGGCTGGTCAGCCTGGCCAAATATGGTATGTTTATCAGCCTGGAGAATGGGTGCAGGCATGGTACCCAGTCTGAGATGGCTAGTGTAAAGAAACAGCCAAGAAATGTCCCACCTGAAATGTCCAAGGCTGACGCACTCTACAAAGGGTACACTGCTCCAAATCTCCAAAGGTGCCCCGGAATGTGCTGGGTAAAGGTACCCAGGGAAAGGGAAGGGCCCCAGTCAGAGGTGGTGTTCCACTATCCCAAAAGCTGACTGCAGGCCAAGGATGCACAGTCTACAGGCTTCAAGAAGAACAGTGAGAACTTCCAGAGCTGAGCCCCGGACACAGAGGGCAGCCCTGGGCCAACACTACCACTCCCCTGATCTCTCACTTCCCTAACTTGAAGGGGTGAGGTGGGCCTGGGGGTGGGACAAGGCTGCACCTTTCAGTCCATTTAAAAGTAATTACACTAAATAATTAAGTTACTTTTTGAAATGTTTCCTATTTCACTTGTGAGCTTTATCATGCTTTCCTTGGAAGAAGGAAGAACGGAGCCATGGAGTTAGTCGGCCAGGCCACTTAACATCCTCATTTTCCTAATCTGCAAAGTTCGAGGAATAGCACCTAGTCTATTTAAAACACAGGACTGTTTTACATGACAATTCAAGGTTTGCCATGAAGGCTATAAAGTGCCGTTATTATTTTATATTGTACACCTTTCAACTGGGGGGGAAAACGTGAAGTGCTATCAACACGAATGTAAGTACTCCTTAGGTAAGTTACACTGTCAATACTTAGAACCAGCAGCTGAGAATAAGTCAAACAGTTATATGGTGCTGTAGGAACCAGTCTCTTTTCCTTACAATATAAACATCTTTAACAGACATTATTCTTCAGATGAACTGTCTGGGGAATATAAAGTTTACAAGGAAAAAATATCAGTTCTAAAACATTCTGGCAATATATTAGCCAGATGGTGAGTCTCACTCACAAAGCAGAGCGATTCCTTACTTAGTTCTCACTAGCAAGGGGTTGTTGCTGGTAGGTGTCATTAAGCTGGCTACAACTCTAGTGACACTATGACCATCAGATCTGAACTCTGCCCTATTCTACGCCATCCTCATGACGTCTTTCCTGCTCAGGCTCTTTGTGGCGAGTCACTGTTCGGGGGCTTCCTCTCTTTTGTTGACCCTCTACCTTTCCCAGCATAATGAGATTGAGTCCTCCTGAAAATATGCCCAAAATGAGTGGCATGAAGTTTCACTTTCCTAGTCTCTAAGAGCACTCTGGATGCATGCCCTTCAGGACAGATGTTTTTATTCTTTTGGCAATATATAGGGTAGTCAATACTCTTAGACAACACCACAATTCAGAGGCATCAATTCTGTCATTCACTGTCTACCTTTCAGATGTATAGGTGGCATCTGAAACACTAAGGCTTAAGTCAGGTGCACCGTAGTCTTTAAGTGGACATCTGTGCTCTTTAGAACTTTGGAAAGGTCTTTGAAAGCAGATTTTTCCAATGTAACACATTTTTTGATTTGTTGACTGCTGCTTCCATGGGTGTTGACTGTAGATCTAAGTGAAATTAAACTGCTGACAACTTCAATATCTTTATCCATCTATCAAGATACTGCTTATTGGACCAGTGGTGAAGATTTTTGTTTTCTTAATGTTGAGATGTAACCCATATTGAAGGCTGTAGTCTTCGATCTTCCTGCAGCAAGGTTGTGTCATCTGCCTAAAGCAAGTTGCTAAAGAGTCTTCCTCCAATCCTGATGCCACGTTCTTATTCATAGAGTTCAGTTCTTCATATAATCCATTCTCCCTACCTAGGTCAATCTGTATTTTGAGCAAATAACTCTAGAAGCTGGACTATAAGAGGCAATCTTATAGGGGTTTATTTGAAGGGTAATTATTATTAATTGTAATAATGATTATTACGACACTTATGATAATGATTATTAGAGGATCTGAAAACAGCAATCTGACATCAAAGTTGTTACTCATGTTACATACTTACCATCAACCGTTTACAAATTTTATGAGCAAATCCTTTGCTTTAAATAACCAACATTTAACTTTGCAATGAAATACTAATCCATATTTTGATAAAGGAAAAAATTAAAACATTTTCCAGATAAAAAGGCTATACCTACCTGAGCCACAAATATTTTTTAAGAGTAAATTAAATGTTATTCTAAATTAATCTGAATGTAAATTCTTATGACCAGGTCATTCTAGTCATGGGTGATATTCAGACATGGCATATACATAAAACAAATGCTCTGAATACAGTAAGAATTCAACAAATACTGATAAGCTTTCTAATTAGTAAGGAATCAAGTAATAATGAACAAAAGATCTGTGAAATTCAAATATTTACCCCTATCTATTACTATAAGCTATGGAAGGGGGAAAAGGCTGTCTCGGTTATATAAACATTTACTTTCCCTGTTTTGCTAATACTGAAAGGCAATTTATTAGAGAGGTAAAGTAAAATAATTTATAATTTTTTAAAAAAAACCCAAAGATGACGAACAATGTTGACAACTGCCTTCCTACTTACTTGTTTTAACCAAATCCTCATGCTGCCTCCTGTAGATACAAAGCTTCTTCCGCATATAAAAGTGCCTTTATAATCTTTGTGTCAAGAAAGCTTGTCATTTGTCCTTACTTAAAGTGACTCAGAATTTGTATTATTCACTGCTCCCACGTTAGTCCCACTCACAGAGACCCTCCACTGGGTTTCCAAGGCTGTAAACCTTAACAGGAGGAGGCTGCCCATCTTTCTCGCACTGAGTCCCTGGGAGATTCAAACCTCCAGAGACGCTCTTGGGTTACCCAGCACCACACCCTACAGACCATGCCAGTAAAGATAAAAAAATTCATATTTAAAAAACCCCATTCTTTTATAAGTTTGTGTCTTTTCAAGAGCTTTTCTATCCATATAGTAAAGAAATGAAAACTCACTCACATTCACTGCTGTCAAATCAGAGCAGAATCATAGCTGACCCTCCACCAGGTCTTCAGAGGCTGTAAATTGCATTTGAAGAGATTGCCCATCCTTCTCCCACGGAGCAGCTGCTGGATTTGAACTGCGGGCCTTTAGGTTGGCAGCACGACTCCTTACCACTAAGCCACCAGATTTGCTGTTGTTAATGATGCGTAATTCTAACTACACAGAACATACTCTCACTGTAGCTCAAGATGCTGACAAAAATTTGCCAGAGAAGCAATAAGCCAAATAAGGGAATGTGGAAATTTTTCAAAATGGAAGCTCTTTCACAGCAAAATTTCATGAGATGATACAATCTTTTATTCCCTAAAGCATAACATAGATTGAGAAAAGATTTTCGTTCTCTGCTCTTTCCAGCACAGATGTGGCGTGTTTGCAGTAAACTTTTCTGCATGTGATCTAGTTTTATTTATATAGTCTGAGAACAGAAGTATCTAGATAAGCATTTATAACATTAATAACATATACATACATCACGAAACAACAACCAACAATAAGAAACAAACACCAAAACACCCTGCTTACCAAAATAAAAATATGAAAGGAAAAAAAGAATCTTATCATTACTCTAATTTACTATTAAGGAGCAACTAAAGTTAGTAATAGATATTACATGTATGCATATTTTCTCTGACATGAAAAGCTTCTGATAATATACTGCTGTGGGAGGGGGGAGATTAAAAAGAACATTTATATTATGAACTTAATCACAGCAATTCTCACCAAAATATAAAGGGAGACTGCCTAGGGGGATGGATATGGGATAATTTTTAATTTCTTTACAATTATTAATATTGCTTATATTTTCTAATATATATTCTCTGTGAGATGAGGAATAAAAGAAACTTGGGGCATAGTGGATAAGTGCTTGGCTGCTAATTAAAATTTCAGTAGTTCAAACCCACCCGCCGCTTCTTAGGAGAAACACTGCAGTTGGCGTCCACAAGGATTTTCAGCCTTGGGAACGCTGTGGAGTGGTTTTCCTCTGTCCTGTAGGTCACTATGGGTTGGTCATGCACCAGCCAAATCACAGCAAGTCCCATTTTATAGAATATACAGGGCCACCAAGTGACACAGTCCTGCATACTAAAAAATTACCTCTGTGCACTGGTGTGCTGTATCAGTTTTTACTGGCAGTGTACAAAACACTTAATGAAGTTCAAGAAACCAACCTGCCACGGTCTGTCCCAATCCAGTGGAATCGGAAATGCTCCCAGCCATGATCCCAGGATACTGGAGATTGTAGTGATCTGAAGACTATTCTCCCAAATGGACGTGACTCTGGAACACAAACCCAAGTCACAGATAGCACGCGACCAAGTTTTCAGAGAAGCATACTAGCAGTCACACAAAGTAACACTACTTACGTATACTGAATTTGTTCTGTTCATTTACATCTCATATTGTTGTACACATTATTTATCAACAAGTATTAACAACCCACTGGTGAAAATAGAAAACTCTCCTTTTAGTTGGAAACAGAGATAGTAAAATATTCACTCAGTAATTTCCTTCCAAGTGGAACTGACTCATAGCTAACCTGTCATTTCGGGAAACAGCTTCTCATACCCACTTCCACAAGTAAACATTAGATTTCTTTAAGGGGAATGTGTGACATTTACTGTGCTATTTATGCATTTCTTAAGCATTTAAGATGTACAGAATTTTTCGTTTTTTTAAAAAATTTTTTATTTTATATTAGTTTGCTTACAAAATTCGTATCATAGTATTTCACACTATCTTTCATTCACACTGTGTTTAATACAATCACTCCCATTATTTATGTTTTATAAAATTAATCACCATTGAACTTTGCTCACCATTACTCTGTCCTTCCAGATGCCCGTCAGATCGTTCCCGTTTTCTTTACCCCTTCTCCCTCCAACCTCAAAACTGTACGACCCTATGATTTCCCCCTTGTCCACCCTCCCCTCTTTGGATCCTTAGACACATTTTACTAGTTATCTTTCTATTTCTACAATGCTAGGCTTATGTAATATTTGCCTTTATGAGTCTGAGTTAGCTCACTCAGCATAATGCTCTCCAGTCCCTCCCATATTATGTAGTAATTTTCAAAATAGCTGCTCCTGAGTGCTGCGTAGTATTCCATCGTGTGAATGTACTACAATTTCTCAATACATTTGACTGTGGTTGGACATCTGGGCTGTTCCCATGTTCTTACTATTGTGAATAATGCTGTTATAAACTCTGGTGTACAAATGTCTGTTTGTGCCTCAGGTCTATTTTCCTAAGGGTAAATTCCTAGCAGTGGAATAGCTGGTTCATATGGAATTTCTATGTTCAGCTTATTGAGGAAATGCCAAACTGCCTTCCAGAGTTATGCCATTTTACAAACCCACCTCTACAAAGAAGTTATAGTTGTTATACAAAACATTTTTAGACTGTGGGCCCTATTTCTATATCATGAGATATGTAAGTAGAAATTATGGCAATTTTATCACAGTGAAAAATTATCTCAGACCAGCGGTTTCAATTTTCATTTGGCAGCAGACATCCTTTTCTTTTTAAACAAATGGCTCTATGTAAGTTCATCATACAAAACAGGAGAAAACTAGCCGATCTTGCTAAACTCTGCTCACTCGACGTCCCTTCAAATGCTGACTGTTCCTCTCCCAACTCACAGCTGAGGTGGCCTCTGGCACGTGAGGAACAGACGGTGCCAAGAAATATTCGTGGGGAAAGCGCCAAGTCGCCACCAACAGGAAAAGAAATGCCTCCTAAATGCTGAAAAACTTATTTCAAATTTTGCTAAAATATAAAATTTTAACCTACCCATTTCTGCTGAAAACTCTTAGCCAGGCTCTGATATTTGGGCCTAACAAACACAAACAAGGCACAGTAGTAAACGTGGACAAAATAACCGCAAATAAAAATGTCTCCAGCACCAACCTAGGGGAGAAAAAAGCCACACTTCATTAACTTTTTTAAAAAAACCATTAAAAATTGCACATACATTAACAAACAACTCTTTGTTGCATAACCAAGCTTGATAAAAAAATTATTTTTTAATAACATTTTTTATTTTAAAATTCAAGTCCTGGGTGGCAATACTTAAAGATAGTTTGGGTAGAATGTTGAATGATCCAGGATGTGTAAAAAGAAGATGGAAGGAGTACACAGAGTCACTGTATCAGAAGGAATTGGCTGACATAGAGGAATTTCATGAAATAACATATGAGCAAGAACCTATGGTGATGAAAGAGGAAGTTCAAGTTGCTATGAAGGAATTGGCAAAAAACAAGGATCCAGGAGTTGACTGCATACCAATTGATTTATTTCAATAAACAGACGCTGCCCTGGATGTGCTCACTAAGTTGTGCCAGGAAATCTGGAGAACAGCCAGTTGGCCAACTGACTGGAAGAGATCAATATTTGTTCCCATTCCAAAGAAAGGTGACCCAACAGAGTGTGGAAATTATAGAACAGTATCATTGATATCACATGCAAGCAAGATTCTGCTGAAAAGTATCCAAAAACGTTTGGAACATTATGTCAACAGAGAACTGCCAGATGTGCAGGCTGGATTTAGAAGAAGTCACGGTACTAGGGATATTATAGCTAATGTAAGATGGATCTTGGCAGAAAGCAGAGAATACCAGAAGAGTGTCTATCTGTGCTTCACTAACTATGCAAAGGCTTTTGACTGTGTGGATCACAACAAGCTGTGGCCGACTCTGAGAAGAATGGAAACCACAGAACATTTGATCGTGCTAATGTGAAACCTATACTTGGACCAAGAGGCAGTCGTCCAGAACAGAGCAAGGCAACACTGCATGGTTCAAAATCAAGAAAGGGGTTCGCCAGGGATGTATTTTGTCTCCATACCTTTTCAATCTGTATGTGGAACAGGTCATCCGAGACACTGGGCTGTATGAGGAGGAATGTGGCATCAGGATTGGTGGAAGAATCGTCAACAACCTGCGTTATGCAGATGACACAACTCTGCTCGCTGAAACTGAGGAGGCTGAAGCGCTTGCTGCAGAAGGTCAAGGACTGCAGTCTTCAATATGGTTTGAAGCTCAGTATCAAGAAAACAAAGATTCTCACCACTGGGCCAATTGGCAACATCAGTTTGGATGATGAAGAGATTGAGATAGTTAACAGTTTTAGTTTACTTGGCTCCACAGTCAACACTCTTGGTAACAGCAAACAGGAAATCAGGAGATGAATTGCATTGGGAAAGTCAGCTGTGAGGGACCTCTCAAGAGTACTGAAGTGCAACGATGTCAGGCTAAGGTGTGCCTGATGCAGGCTGTAGTCTTTGCCATTACGTGCTATGAAATGGAGAGTTGGACAGTCAATAGGGATGAAAGAGAACTGATGCCTTTGAGTTGTGGTGCTAGAGAAGAGTGTTGAATATACCATGGACTGCTAGGAGAACAAACAGGTTTGTCCTGGAGAGGGTGAAGCCAGAGTGTTCCCTGGAGTCAAGGATTCTGAAGCTTCGTCTGACATACTTTGGGGTCCCTGGAGAGGGTCATCATGTTTGGGAGAGAGGAGGGACAGCACAGGAGAGGAAGACCCTCGATGAGATGGATCGATTCTGTGAGTGGAGGGGTAGGAATGAGTGTGTTTGAGACAGCGAGGTTGGCACAGGACAGAACAGCATTTAGGGCTCTTGTACATAAATAAGGTCGCTATGAGTCGTAAATGACTCGATGGCACATAATAACAACAACAACAACAACAAAAGTTTACAGGTAAATTATATTTTCCTTTATTCACTGTTGTACATTTTTACCCCCTCTCCCTCCCTTTCCCAAGTTTACTTCTTAATATTTTTTTATTTATTTTATATTGGGTTTTTTTACAAAGTCTGAATACACTGTTTTACACACTGAAAACATTTCCTTATACTTAGAATGATAACATAATTAGAACCCACCCTTGGCTGACTCTTGAGGTCTCCAGAGACAGTAAAGCACATGGAAGGAGACTGCCTGTATTTCTCCCTCAGAGCAGCTGGGAGATCCCAAATACCTGCTTTTGGGTTGGCAGTACAACCCTTTACCTACTTGGCCACCTGATACTATGAATAATTTTCCTTATCTGAAATGGAAATTACAGAAAACAATCTAGGGAGCATTGGGCTTTAACAAGATTTTACCTGAGGAACTGAGAAAAAACTAAAGATGGGGCAGCAACCTTAAAACGTCTCACTGAAATTTCAGAATTTGCATTTCTGAAAAATGCTGGTCATGCTGGTTCAAGGACTAGACTTTCAGAAGCACTGCTTCGCAGGACTGTTCTACTCTAAAATGGATTTGACAGCCACTGCCATTTGTCTCCTGTCTTGGGGTTGCTATGAGCTGGAGGCAACCTGACAGCCCTTCACAACATCATTCCTGCTACAAAGGCGTTGTCCTCCCCCTCTAGAAGAGAATCCGTGGCCAGTTCCACGGGGATGCATCTGAGTTTCTGTGTGCTGGGCTGCTAATACAAAGGCCAGTCATTTGTAACTACCAACCACTGCACAAGAGAAGGACGTGGTAGTCAGCTTCCATAAAATCGTACAACCCTGGCAAGCCTTGGGGAGGTCCACTCTGCCCTGTATAGTCATCACGTGCTGGACAACACTGGGTTGAGTTTGGGAACACACACAGTGAAAAACACGCACGCACACACACACACACGTTCATCCCATCATTCATTATACTGTGTTCATTTCTCACTACTAATGTGCTTTTCCAAACTATACACAAAGACCAGTATATGAGGAATAGTCTTTAATGTGAATTCCTATTTTAAAATTAGGGAGCTCTGTGGCTTAGTGGTAAGGAATTGCATTGTGAACACAAAAGTATGTGGTTTATATCCTACAGCTGCTCTGTGGTAGAAGATGAGCAATGTTCTCCTGTGTAATTTGTTGTTGTTGTTGTTATGTGCCGTCAAGTCACTTGTGACTCATAGCGACCCTATGTACAACAGCCCTAAACTCAGCTCTGTCCTGTGCCAATCGCACTGTCTCTGACACACCCATCCCAATTATCCCAGTCACTGAATCAATCCACCTCATAGAGGGCCTTCCCCTCCTGTGCTGTCCCTCCACCCTCCCAAGCACTATGTCCTTCTCCAAATTACACATCCTGTGTAATTTACTGTCTCTGAAAATCCACTGGAGGGTCAGCTATGGGTCAGTTCTGACTCATCAGTATACAACAACAACAACTTAAAATTAAAAATCTCAAATTCACTGCTCTCCAGTTAAATCAGCACTCATGGTGCCCCCTCAACCAGGTTTCCAAGCCTGCAAACCTGAATTACGCTTAACTAAAGGTCACATGCTAAGAATTACATTTGCTAATTCTTATACTCTTTTCCCCCTAATTACTTATGACAGAGACAGATTCAATTCCCTATGATCCGAAGACAATGATGAATCCTGCAGCAAAACTCACCCCATGACTCAGCTCTCAGCCCAACAACAGAAGGGCCTGTAAGATGACCAGTATCACCAGGGAGCCTCTCAAGTCTAAGAACAAGGTCACCATGGCAGCACGTGCCCAGGGATAAAGCTCAAGAGGCAGGAAGGGGTACAAGAGAAGGATTAGGGAAATGAGAATCACAGGAAAGGCACTGGAAGAGTGTGGTTGCATTGTGGATACTGTGATTAATGCCATAAAACAAAATGTATATGAGCGGTTAAATGGAAAAACCATTTTCTCTGTAAATTTTCAATGAAATTACAATAAAAAGAAAAATATCCTTCTGGAGGACTCTTATATTCTGAAACAAGAGGTCATGAAAACAAGAGTAGAAAATTAATTAACAATTTCTTTTTTCATTTTATTACCTTTTTTTTTAAATGTGTATACCATCAAATCAGATCTGACTGGTACAGGAGGAGATTGTCCCTCCTTCTTTAGCAGAGCATCTGGTGAAGTCGAACCTCACATCTCTGGGATTGCAGTGCAGCTTCTTGCCACGAGGCCACCAGAGCTCGCCTCAATTAATGAATTTTAAATTAAATTCTTGCTTTCAGTAAAAGTTTACCCATTTGACAATCTCTATAGAAATTGTCCAATGATACTAGATTTCCCACAAAATGCCAATATTCTCTTTAATTTCCATTTGGTTGGCTTGTTTAATTTAGTGAGTATTATTGTTGTTGAAAATGTACACAGCAAAATACATGCAATTCAGTGTCATTTGGTACATTCTTTGAATTATGCAGCCATTCTTATTCTCCTCTTTTAAATTATTTCTCCCTCATAAATAAATTGCCAGGATTTTCGAGGACCCGTTATTTCAGAAACGGCTGGCCAGTTCTGCTTCTTGGCCTGGAAGCACTGCTGAAACCTGTCTGCCAAGGGTGACCTGCTAGTATTGAAATATCAACGGCAGAGCTTCCAGCGTCATACACCACGCAAGCCACCGTATTGTGAAAAACTAACAGATGACAGACACAACCTTGCCTGCAGGAAGTGAAGACGACTCAAAGTCCATACTGTAGAAGAGCATGAACTACACAGCCATTAGTATGGATTACATCACAGCATCAGGAAAACACAGATCTTCACAAATGGATCAATAAGTAACATCATGCTAGAGAAAAGCCTCATGTCAACAGTTTCACTCACAGTATCAGAAGAAATTACGACATACAGTATCAGGAAAATCTGCTGCCAAGGATCTCTTGAAACCTTTGCTGTTTAGCACTTTAAACACTAAGGTGTGCTTGAACCAAGTCACAGTATTTTCAGTTGTTTCATATGGACCTAAAAGTACAACAGTGAATAAGGAAGACGGAAGAAGAATTGATGCCTTTGAGTTGCGGTGCTGGAGAAGCTTACTGAACATCCAAAAGAACAAAACAAGTCTGTCTTGCTCAAAGTAGAGGCAGGGAGCTCCTTAGAGGCAAGGATGGTGAAACTTGGTCTCACATTCTT